AAGCGAAGTTATACAAGGTCAAACGAAGGCATTCATAATAATATTATAGACGCCGGTTTCACGGTTTCTGGGCGTTAGAGTGAGCGTGGCAGGATGAAAAACTCGTGACCAGTTGCAGTGGCATCTCTAAAATACGTGTTCCTTAAGCTAATTTGTGGGCGTTCAGTGGGTGTAACTAGATGAAAATTAATTAAATTAAATTAATTAAATTAATAATTAAATTAATTAAATTAATACAATTAAATTAATTAATTTGCATTTGGGGCACTCATAAAAGCCCTACATGCTTAATCGGAACTATCTATCTCTGTGAGTTACTGAGATATCAGCTTTCCAAACAATTTAAAAAACTCATCTTTTTGAGCCTTGTGAGCATATAGGTGGGTGTACCACTGTTAGATGCTGGCATCTAAAGATTATACATTCTGAATTTTAACTTTCTAGCTCTAATGGTTCTGAGATTTCAGGCGATTTGTGGGCGTTGGAGTGGGCGTGGCAGGATGCTGCGGCTAAACTTGCGCTGCGTAGGGACCTCAAGAATCTTCATTGTTAATCTCAACTTTGTATTTCGTATAGTTCCTGAAATCTCAGCGTTCCATACGGACAGACGTACAGGACGGACAAACAGACGGACATGGCTCAATCGTCTTCGCTCTTCATCCTGACGCTTCCTGTGTTCCCTTTACACGAAATTAACAAGGGGTCATTGTAAGAGGGGTTCCAGGCAAAGCAATTACCGAACTGATAAATTCACAAAATAAACATTTATTCGATTATTAGTCAAAATATGAACAGTGAGTAAACACGCGATGTGAGTTCTGTGACGCTTTACGAAGCCGACTGCTTCATTATTTCTCTTCTCCGCTCACACTCTCTCGATCCCAAGCATCGTCCCAAATGAAAGAGCAATCAGCTAATGGATCGTGCTTCCCGCCTACTGAGACAAGCAGTAAACTTAACACAGTGTATTATCTGAAAAATTCTATATCAGCCGAAGACAAACTTAAAACCGAATAAGCACTGCAAAATGTATAGTCAAATATATAGAAAACCAAAAAAGAGGAAATAGAAAGCACACAACTTAATTTTTAAAACACAATTAATCCCTAAAAATCAGAATCTAATTGGTAGCTTAAATTCTATTTTTTTGTTTTTCCAAGGTCTGATCAAATCAAGTCCCAATGAAATGAGTTGTCGAAATTCGAAGAAAAGATAGAAGCAAGATCACAAGAAGAAGATATCAATTTACACAAACTATACCGACCAGTGCACTGGGCAACAAGCCCACAACCGGCAAAACCACCCAGAGCTTCCCCTAGAAATGTTCCAAGATGATTGATCTGCAACACCTATGGACATAGGATATTTCACTTTTTTACGCATATTGCTTAGATGCACTCTAACCACTGGAACGCTAGCCAATTTTGCAAATAATACCATGAGTTCTGGATAAAAATGTGTCTAACCAGGCGGGTACTCGGAACATGACTCTCGTAAAAGATTTTAGTAACTGGACGAAAGGAACGCTACCTGACAAGGACAAATTTCAAAATATCAATGATGTATGTTAAAGCTGGACGAGCAGATCACGCTTGCAGAATGAAACCATAAAAAACGTATGTTTCTGGAAATGGAGAGAAATGTAAATTACAAAGACTTACATATATTTGGAAAAAGAAAAAAGGCCAGCTTATTCAAAACATCTATAACCGAGGACTTGCACAGCAGGTCGGTTACCATTATTAATGAGGTACATTTTCAAATAAGTTTTGATGATCGAGAGTCGAGAATTAACACTTAAAACAAACAAAACTTAATTAACAAGGTTAAAAATATCGATAATAGTTCAAATTAGTCAAATGATTTAAATTCATGTAGATTTACTCCTAAAATCAAAAAGTACTGGAAAAGACAAAATTAAAAAAGTCTTTATGTGTAATTGCACAACAATGGTAGTCTAAAGTATATAAAATTTTGAAAGAAAATAAATAAAAGAAAATATATTTATTTATTATTATTATTTACTTATTATTTATAAATATTTTCAAAATAAAGTAACATAAAAATATGAAAGTGAATAGTGCCTGGCATTTCCAAGCGACATTCCTGGGAATAGGCATTTAACTTAAAACTTTAATTACAAATCCTTTTCATGTTATATTGAATAAAATTTTCTGTCTTAATTGCTGAAAAAATGCATCCAATTTACAGTAGAGCTTGACTTTTGTTTTAAAAAAATACTGTCTTCAATTCTTATTAAAAGGCGTATGTGATAACGGTTTTAATTTTTTGTTATTCATTTCTTCATTCAAAAAAAAACTTATGCCAAAAAATAAAAACAACAATCAACTTTTAACAATATTAATAAGCAGATTATCAATGTTTTTGGGCGTTAAAGTAGGCCTGGTCTAACTGGACAGTGCAAGTTATTAAGAAGATCACCCTGCAGTGGACCATACTGTTTCCTTTTTTTTTGTTCCTTTTTATCTTATAATATAATCGTCCAGACAAACAAAAAATAAAATATTAAAAACCCACAGATTTTTGTGGTTTCTGGGCTTAAGCGAGAAAGACCAGCAGTGTTGGCGTTCCCTGACCCCCCTTAATCTAGCTTGCTGTTTTAGATTCCGAGATCATAGGGGGCATGGGTAAATCACACAGCTGTTGCTCCTGATCAAGAATAAACTATACCACACCCTTTTACTTCAAAATATTTAAATTGGACAGTTTCTAAAATAAACTGATTAAATTTGTGTTTTTCTGTGTGTTCCGCCTACTTACACAAATGGCAAAGATAGATTTGTACTGTTAATCATATGTACAAGCTTTCTTGTAACTTTCGGTTAATTAATAATATTATTTGCATCATACACATATAGTCAATATCGGAGTTAAATAACTGCTTCCTGATGAGCGGGGAGGAATTGGGCCTAAATACACTGAAAAAATTATTAAAAATATGCCACACAATTAAGCGATATCATAAAAAATAATGGCTAACATACCAAATATTAAGTTAAATTTGTTTTCTAGAATATTAAAGTAAGTTAAATTTAGCTTTTTTCGTTGTTGTTTTATTTTTTGATTTTTATTTTAATTTTAAATAAAGATTTAAGCTTTACTATACCACTTAAATTTTGTTTTTTTTTTAGTTAGTTTTACTGTTTTCTTTGCGTCTGAAGTTGAAAAATAAAAAATCGAGTATTAAAGTTATCCATTGTATGTAAAAACGGAACACCGTTCAAAAAGCGCTAATCAAGCATGTACAGTGACGAACTAAACTCAACCATTGAGTGTAAAATGTTGATATAAACTTTCTCGTGTTATTTTTTTATAATATTATATGTATAAATTTTTGTTTATTTAAATGTCTAAATTTTAAGGGGAGAAATCGTGCCTAAAAGTTCATGAAGCCTTCTGTGCCAATAATTTAGTTCGTCACTGTATGTAAGTGAGTTTTTTTTTAGAATTTAATATACATATGTAGCTGATCTGGTATTTTTCCAAAGACGTAGTAGGCACTAGAGCCCCAACAATACTTTAAACTGGTTTTACCTTAAGGGGCTTACTGATTTTTTGGTTTTCACTTATATCAAAAGACAAGACGAAAACAATGAAGAAACTGCTGTGCAGGGGTTGACACCACTAGTGAACTGAAGGACAGGCCCGGTATCTTCCTCTCTTTTCGTCGCTCTTTCTAAATGTGCTTTTACAGATGATAATACCTAACATTATTTATCGCCTGTGCTTTCATTCAACAGCGAGCAATGCTGTCGATCAGACGCTAGCGCTTTACAAGACATACATATGTACATACATATATGTATATGTTAAAAGTTAATGTTCATGTATGTACAAGAAGCTACAGGAGCCAAGACAATAAGTTTTTAAGTACCGCGGCTTTAAAACTCTACAGAAAAACATTTTTTATTTATGATTTTTAAAGACACACTCATGTTGTGAATATGAAGGTGCTTGGCCAACTCTTTGTGCGTAATTATAGTGCTGTCTGTGTACACGACGAAGTGGCCTCCAGTCAGCGCGCACCGATGGTGACGACTGCACTTCGATTGGGTTCGAGCCCTAACACAGATCTTGCGCTGCCTTCTAATCAGGTCACCTTTCATAGCGTGCAACGCCGCAAGAGTCTTAAAGCAAATAGATCGTTGAAGTCAATAGACATCTTGGGAAGCTTTTTCAACGAACCAAACCAAGGCAAACGAAATCGAGCTCCTACGCGTAAGTCTAATGGGTACCAGAACAGTACCTCTGTTTTAAAAAAATGGAATAATGGTGTTCTTAATAAAAAGCATACAGTCACGGAAACATTCATATTTATCTAATAAGATAATTCAAATGCATATATGTATGTATTTTCTCGACTTTATTTGTATCAAAAAGTTTATTAAAAATCGCTTATGATTACGAAGCAGTCGAAAAAGATACCGTACAAAAAGACAGCATAGCTGTTTGGTATAGCACTTTAAACGACAACGAATAAAATTAAGGGCTATGTCGGCAACAACATATGCATATACATATGTACATATGTACATATTTTTCTCAAACTGTCTTTTCAAACCACAAAAACCACATATTTATGTATGTATGTATTTCAATTAGTTGTGGGTTTAGATCAGGGATGCTCAAAATCGTCTGAAGGCAGAGCATTTACTCACATACAGTGGCTCCAAGCTTATTTCGTGCAAGAATAAATCGAAGTTTAAATTTTATAATGATACTAAACCAGCAGAGCTATCAAAAAAATTTAAACGCAGTAATGTTAAGAATGTCGCATATTACTAATTTAAAAACATAAGAATTTTTCATACAAAAACTAAAAAATAGGGCAATTCTGACGCTCAAGCTTATTTCGTGCAAGCACTTAAATGGTAAATAACTCTAAACTGCGACTTTTAAATCCATTTTTTTCTTAATACTAGTAAAAATATATTAACAAAAGCATATTTATTTATTTGGTGACGTTTTTGTGTTGGTTTGCAGCAGTGCACTGAGAGAAAAAATCATCACTCATTTTACAGACCAGCCAAATGCAAAATACTCTAAATTGAAATGCACTGAGAGCAAAAAAATCATCACTCATTACACTGACCCGCTAAATGCGAAATACCGTCGGCACATAATTTATTTGTACACCCGTGAGTTGGAAGTTAATTCCTTAATATCTCGAGAAATACGTAACGGAAATTAAAATGTAATACCTCAAATGAAAGATATACATTTCGAGAATATATTATAAACATAAAATGAAAAAGTTTGAACTTTAATACTAGATATTTTCCTTAATAACACAAATAAGTCATTTTTTTACGCACAAAAATTACTCGTACACTTTATAAAATATTGAAAAAACAACAATTTCAAAGATTTAAAGATTTTAATCTTTAGTGGGTCCATCTTTGGCCTGAATGGAAGCTTGTAAGCATTGACACATGCTTTTTATAAGGTTGCTCGTCTCGTCAGCATCAATTGAATCCCATTCAGGTATTAATGCGGTTTTTAAGGATTCCTTCGAGGATATGTTGTCCTTTTCTGGAGGATATCCCATAAATGTTCAATGGGATTCAAATCTGATGTTTGTAGAGTCGGTTTTTGCTCCTTGCAGTGATATAAAAGCCACTATTGCACTAAATACAATAAATATATCGGGTCGTTATCTTATTGAAATACGAAAGTCGCTGGATTCTGTCCAAGTTTAAGGGCACATGGAATTAAATTTTGGCCTAAAATGTCTTTAAAGTTTAAACATAAATTTTTTAATTTTATCTTCCGAAAAGACCATTCGACCCACTCCATCTGCAGCTGTACACCCATAAACCATCACATTCTGGCCAACGTGCTTAAAAGTTGGAATCAAGTCTTTTCCTTTATGGCTTCATTTGCCTTTTGACATACTTTAAAAGGACCATCGTGTCCAAAATTTTTCATTTTTGATATGCCAATAAATATAACGTTCTCCCAAAATAATTCCGGCTTGCTTACATACGCATTTTTTGTTATAATCAGATAACAATGGGTTTTTACGAACAACTCTACCATGTATACCAGCATTGTGTAGGGTGTTCCGGATGGTTTGGGTACATTTTTTTTCTGAAGGCTTCTCTAGGGTTTTAAGAATTGTTGCGGATGTTATTCTGGGATTTTGTAATGCCGTAAATACAACCATGTATACCAGCATTGTGTAGGGTGTTCCGGATGGTTTGAGTACATTTTTTTTCTGAAGGCTTCTCTAGGGTTTTAAGAATTGTTGCGGATGTTATTCTGGGATTTTGTAATGCCGTAAATACTACCATGTATACCAGCATTGTGTAGGGTGTTCCGGATGATTTGGGTACGAAAACTTAGTGTAATATCGCCGCGAGCGCTCAAAGGTTATCGGCGAGCAAGTCCCTATGCTCCGAGCATTTACAAAAACAAATAAGGAATCAAAGCATACATAGGCGCTGAGCACCCCTGGCTAATATCGAACCTACACTAGACTATAAGAAGAACTCAAACAACGAGAACAGCAATTTTCATATTTTATATTATATGTATATGTACATATACATACATATGTATACATATGTGTGTCAAGGGACGGAAGCATTTTTTAATTTCATGTAATCATTTGACTAAGTGTTGTATATGCTAGGGGTGGGGAAAACGATCGTAAGTGACCTTAAATTTCAACTGACTAACTTACATACATACATATATAAGCACATATTATATACATATGTATGTATGTTACATTACTTTTTTGTCTATAACCATCTTTTGTAAGCGTTTTTAAGGGGTAAAAGGTACAAAAGTATATGAGATTCATTCGCAATTTACATCAAAAGTTTACATAAATTCTTACGAAAATCACACAAAAATAAACAAAATTTCAAAGTTAACTAGTTGGCGGGCTGCCACCTTTACTCAATTTTCTAACTTTTCAGTCAATTTTCCTAATTTTCAATTTTGACAAATTTTCCTCCCCCTTGAGCTCTCTTGAACACGTACAAAAAATTGCCTCATAATTGGACCAGCCTTTTACGATTTTAGTGCTGAAATACATATGTACATACATGGTTACATTAATTTTTATACCCGTTACTCGTAGAGTAAAAGGGTATACTAGATTTGTTGAAAAGTATGTAACAGGTAGAAGGAAGCGATTCCGACCCTGTAAAGTATTGATTAGGATCAATAGCGAAGTCGATTGAGCCATGTCCGTATGAACGCTGAGATCTCAGGAACTCTGGAGATACAAAGTTTAAATTAAGCATGAAGATTTTTGAGATCCATACGCAGAGCACGCTTATTTCAACATCTTGCCATGCCCTCTCTTACGCCCACAAATCGCGAAAAACTAAATTCGCGGGAATCTCAGGAGCTCTTAGAAAAGTTGAAACTCAGTATGTATAATCTTTGGATGCCGCATCTTATAGAGGTACTATTATCCGGCCACACCGACCCATACGGAAAAGCTGATATTTCGGTAAATTTAAGTGATAGAAAGTTCGGATTAAGCATGTAGGTTTTTATGATGCCCCACAAAACCCGGAAAACCAAAAATGCAAAAATCTCTGGACCTATAAGAGCTAGAAAGTTAGGCTTAAGAATACGTATTTAAGAGATGCCACTTCATCTTGACACTTTTTTTCATCTGGTCACGCCCACTCTAACGCCCACAAACTGCGGAAAACTTGATTCCTTCGTTTGACCTTGCATAACTTATTTCTGTTAATATCTATCGATTTACCAAAGATTTTTAAAATCGGCACATTAGATCGCTATTTATAAAGAAATTTAAGTTATAAGGCCTCACATGGTTCGTGAAGTCACTATCAGTTACTCAACATGCTTTCTCTGACAATAGCTAGCGCCTTGTGAGTTTCCACTAGCAAAATGAATATTTCAAAATTGTGTAAAACAGTAATGAGTATCTTATAGTCGCGGCACTCGACTATAGCGTTTCCTCTTGTTTATTTTCTCTTTGTGGTTGATATTTGTTTGTGCAAGATTTTGCTGATAACGTTTTTGGTTTGCGCAAGGCTAGGCTTTACACTGTTTTGGTTCGACTTATTTCTCCGGATATTGAAGTGCACTATGTTGAGTAACTACATGCTTTCTCTGACAATAGTTGGCGCTTTGTGAATTTCCACTAGCAAAATGAATATTTTAAAATTGTGTAAAACAGTATCGGGTATCTTATAGTCACGGCGCTCGACTATAGCGTTTCTTCTTGTTATATATATAGATAGAAACATTATTTCTTGCTGTGCGAACAAATTCGACAGCAAATGGAAATTTTCGCACGAACATTCATATGAAACAAATGTATTTTGTGGCTTTCCCCTTTTCTTCTTTTTTTTCTCAGTAAAATTACGAATTACCATTAAGTCTATTACTTTTTTGCTTTCGCCCACTCATTGTTGGGCAAATAAAATTGTTGTTCGACGTACAGTTCGTCAAACAATTTAGTCGTGGTGGACAGCTTTAGAAGAAAATTATAAAACATAGTGATTGTTCTGAAAGCTTTAAGGCACATGTTTTACGCTAAAGCAAAAGTTCTTAATAAAGCAGTATAGGGCTTGAAGCGGAATTATTAGTCAAATGACGTTAGGTGTCTCTCGCTCCTGAATTCAACCCTAAAGCAAATAATCCAATAACGGCCGAAACCGGTAAAACAATATTGCACTTTCATCATTGTAATTATACCCGTTACTCGTAAAGAAAAAGCTATAAATGTATGTTACATTCAAAGGGAAATTATTAATATCCTATAGCGGTTTTATTTGGCGACAGAACTATAGGTGGTGGCTTGGGCAAGGCGAAAGAAATTAAAGATGAGGTATGTGGCGGCATTTCAGGACCAAGCTGAGGAAGGGTTGCAATGGGATTCGATTGCATATGCAGAAGAGTATTATGCTTCTGGTGGCAGTTTCTTCAGCTGCCAGATCTGCATTGCCGTAAGCTGTGTCCCTTCCGTTCCCTTTAAACAAAGATGCGTCCTTTTTGCTTCGTTGTAGCGCTGAATTGGAGTCAATCCTAAAAATTGTGGGCATTTCGTTGGCAATGTCGAAGACGAAGCAATAAGTGTGGTGCGATGACTTCTAGTAGCTTCATTTCCCCCCTG